AAGCTAATAAGAAGACTGCAACTCAGCAAAATTGTACTGAAGGGAGCTGAGGTTCTTCGAACAAAATCCTCAAGAGGAGAAAGAAGGGGATGATGCAGGTAGGAGGAGAGAGGACTAACGAAAACATGGGAAGGGAGAAGAACGGGTAAAAAAACAGGGAGCAGAGAAAAGGCGACAACTGCATATCCATGCTTCAGGGTTAATCATAAATTTACGGACTCTTACTCGTAAGAAGGGTATTTTCAACCTCGCCAGAATGTTCGGCGATGGAAACTTGCCAAAAACTAATGCTTAGTTTAAAAATACGTTAAAAAGATAGCCATAAATGTGAAAAATGAGAAATCTAAAAAAAACGAAGCTGGACTGGTCATGTAGCAAAGATAAGAGGCAAAAGATGGACGAAACGAATAAGCTACTACTAATGACAAGTCAAAAGAACAGCTGGAAGGCCATCGACTGACTCGCTGGGCCGATCAGCTAACTTGAATAAAAAAATACCATCATACATTTGAGTACTGCGGATGCGGGATATTCACTACCGAAGCCGATGGCATGGCTGTCAGCAATACCATTCAAAAACATTCCGAAAACCAATCAGTGGCCAACTAGTGGCTTCTTCAAACATCAGGTAAGTATTAAAAGTCCCTGAGTTAAAACTGGGCGAACATCATCAATAGGCTAAACATTTAAGTGAACAAACGAAAATATGAGGTACGGCACACCAAAAACAAGGACCTGTAACCATCTCATTCAAGATAATAAAGAAATTAATCATTATCTTATTCCAGTCAAGAACTTCGCACTTGAAGCAATTTCTTGCTACTGTTTTCTTGGAGAGTTTTGAAGATCCGATTTTCTAGGCAAAGTTTTGAAGATTTTCACTCTCATACCTTCTGTGGGCAAAAATAAACCCCTGCACATGTTGCCCAACTTTACTAAAGAAGCAGAAGTCGCGAAAACTGGCAAAATTTCAAATCCATCCATATGCGATAAAGCGTAGGCTTATTTATCAGCAAGAAATTACGAAAACAGCCTCCCCTCACCTCTACTTTCCTTTTTCGAGCATCAGGACTAG